AAAAGTTGCCCTTAGTTTTTACATGTCATTATGCAGATGTCATTGGTGAACGCATGTCTTTGCTGAATAGAGCTCTATATGGAGCTTTGGCAAATATTGAAGTTGCTTCTATGGCAGAGAATTGCCTTATTTACTTATAAAAACTGTGACCCTACATTAAAGCAATTGGAAAATTTCAAATGTTTTAGGAATCTGTCTTAATCTTTTTGTAAAGTTTGTAAGCATAGGCATTTTCTTTTTCACTCAACAAATGTTTATTGATTACTGTTTAAGCCACATTGTATTCAGGATTGAGTATATAGATATAAATAAGACATGGTTTCTGACCTCACAGAATTATTAATAACAAAGTCATTGTGATAAAGGGTGATAGTGTCTTGAATGGGGAAATTCTGGCTGGCATGAAGGCTTTGAGAACCCAGAAAGACTGCCCGGAGAAAGTGAATTTCTTTTTTTAGCATGGACATTTTTGAGAGCTTTATTTTCCTTATTCAATATAAGCACACATTTTATTTGTCAAGAAAATAGGCTTTGAACATTATAATTTTAAACAGAAGTGAACTCATTTATAATAAGTCACATCCATTTCTTGTGTTCTGTTTTCTTCTAAAGATCATTGCACTTCATGTTTTACTTGTGAAATCTTATTTGCTGTTGCATAAAATCTTTAGCAGAGCATTTCTAAAAATGTAATATTGAATATGTTGTGGTATTAAATTCATTGAAAGCAAATTGTTCACAGAGTCGCAGCAGGAGCTGCTGGATTTAATGTTTTGCGATTAATCCATGAACCATCTGCAGCTCTTCTTGCCTATGGAATTGGACAAGACTCCCCCACTGGAAAAAGGTAAAAACCATATTTGCAGTTTTAAGTTTTTTTAGTGCAGGGAACATTTTAGATTATAGCAATTATATCAATAAGAATTGTTATGTAATGTAGTGGCTCCCAAACTTGATGGATGGAAAGATATTGAAACTCTTACCTAGAGGTTTTCAAATATTAGTAGTTAAGAAAGAGGTCCTAGGAAAAACAGAAAGGACATAACAGGAGGGAAGATTGAGCTTTTCTGTCCTTTTTTTTTAATCGCCTTCATTTTGTCCCTTTATTGGAGGAAGATTTGAAAATTACACGCCTGGCCAAGTTCCAACTCAAGCTAGGGCACTGCTGATTTTTCTACCGATTTTAAAAATTATAAGACATGTTTAGAACAGTGGCTACTTTCATATACATCTGATTTGACAGGAGATGGGGGAAATCCAGCATACGGACTTGAGACTCCTTTTGATGGTGAAATAGTAAGATACTTATTCCTGATTTAGCTATCAGCACATCTTGATAGACTCGATGTTCATACAACTTTAGAGAAATGAATTGAGATACAGTGTTGACTTTCCCTAATTGTTTCACCTCATTCTTATCTCACAGTGAAAGAAATTAATATGTGTAAGTCACTAGGAAATTATTTTTAGATAAACTAGATAAATGTAGAACCAATACCAAATTTTGAATTCTGATGCTGGAGAAATTGGGAATTAGCACCTAGTTTTGCATATGTTTTCTATCTACAGAATATGTTATTACACTAAGTAAATTGCATAGTATTAACACATAGAATGTCTATATTCAATTTGCTTAAAATTCAGTATAATCACAAATGTCTTCTTGATTTCCTTTGAAAAGTCAGTGGTATGAATTCTAGTTACTCAGAAGAATGCAGTTGTACCCGCACGACTAAGTAAAAAAGAAATTTGACTTGGTTCAGAAGGTCTGGGTTTGAGGCTGAATTCATCACTGAGTGACTGTGAACAACCTAATTACTCATCTGAGATTTTCAGTTTCCTCATTTATAATTTAAAGTGATTAAACTAAGTGACTCCTAATGTTCAACCTAGCTTTAAAATGTTGTGGTTTGCTAATAACTAACTCTGTCCTTCTCTTGAAGCAATATTTTGGTGTTTAAGCTTGGCGGAACATCCTTATCTCTCAGTGTCATGGAAGTTAACAGTGGAATATATCGAGTTCTTTCGACAAACACTGATGATAACATCGGTGGTGCACATTTCACTGAAACCTTAGCACAGTTTCTAGCTTCTGAGTTCCAGAGGTGAGTGTTAATGGCCTGGATAATACATTTTGATAGAAGTTTCTCTTCCAGTTTTTTATTTTTTTTCTAATTTATTTTAAATTATCCAGCTACAAAGGAGAATGTGGTTTTTGTTTTTTTTTTCATTGCTTGGAAACTAGATATTTTCATATCTGGAGTTATAATGTCCTATTTGAGCAATAGCAAGGAAGCAGAGCCAGGCTGTGCCCTATGCAGTGTGCTACTTGGATTTTTTACTTAGAATAAAGAGACCACCAGACATTAAACTGCGTAAGCTTGGATCTCAAGTTTGTTTTTCTGATTCTTCATGTACTGCTATTCTGTCTGGTATAAGCACTGAGGCCTTGCTGCCTTCTGAACAGTTTTTTATAACTTTAGATCTGGTGAAGATTGTATTATGTTATCATCATATTCCAGTGAGTTAATGTCTTATGGAGTGTTTAATTACCAGTCTACCACAAGGAGTATTTTAGTCTTGTTACTGGATGTAATTACTTCATTCAGAATTCTGATCCTGCTTAGACATAGCAAGAGTCAAATATATAACGGTTATACTTGGATATTGCTGCTGTAAAAAAAAAAAAAAATGTAGTTGAAACAGTATTTTTACCAGTTTGATTAAATTCATTGGTTGAAAAGTCTTGGAAAAATGGTAATTTCTCACTTGTTTAATAAAGACCTATACTGCTTTTTGTTGTAAAGTTATCGTTTAAACAAAACCATTGATCACTACTTAGCAAGTAGTTTTACAAATGAACTCATTGGAAATAGAGGAGCTGTAATTTATTTATTTTGTATGTGTCAAATTTCTTCGAAGAAGCACTTTCAGGTTTGTTTTTTTTTTTTAATGCTCAACTGGTAATTTTAAACCAATTAACAATGATAGTACCGTGATTATAAAGGGTAACATAGGAGACTTTAACCCAGTTACATAAATCTCCTTCAACCTCTGGTTGTCTCACGTGAAGGATCATGTCTACTCTGCTTGCTTCAAAGTATAACCTACTATTATGGTTACATAGTGCACCAATTCAAAATACTCGGTAAATTGGTTATTTTTCTTGAGGAGACCCTTCTTTTAATTGCAGAGAATGTTCTTAGGAAAATTTAGAGGAATTAGAAGCAGAATACTAAAATGTAGTATGTAATATTGATTCATGAGTTTATTATTATTCTAATAGGGATTATCCAGATTTTAGTTACGATAAATTCTTAATGGCCCAGTGATTTTAAACTTGAAAGGCTGTATTTTTAATTTAGATCCTTCAAACATGATGTGAGAGGAAATGCCCGAGCCATGATGAAACTGATGAACAGTGCTGAAGTTGCAAAACATTCTTTGTCCACCTTGGGAAGTGCCAACTGTTTCCTTGACTCATTATATGAAGGTCAAGATTTTGATTGCAATGTGTCCAGGTAAAACTAAAGTTGAAAAAACTTTCTTAAAAAAATCCCAAAAGCATTCTTATTTAGGTTTAATTTTCTCACCTTGGGTTTTGTCTGTTTGTTTGAGATTCATTAGCCATCTATAAAAGGAGAATTTTACTGTCTTTACTTTTAGGGTCCAATTTTTGTCAGACTAAATAGCTGTTCCCAAAATAATTACATCAGTGTGGCTGCTTGCCCTATTATTTTATGGCTACAATTAACAGTGTGTGAAAAAGGCATCCTAGAACCTTCAACCTAAATCCTAGGTTACAAGTGATTGTATTTTTACCCCGAAAGCACAAATAGAGGACACTGCCCTAGCTTTTTGTGTTGCATATTTGCTAACACTAATGAGAGCTACCATTAGTGAGCCTATCCAAACCTCCCAACAGC